AAGAGTCCGAGCTTGATAGGAGGGCGGTCTCGTCAAGAGAGACACTCCTCTGGGATCTCGAGATTGAACGAGCCGGCGTACGGGAGAAGGCCCGCGCATGTGATAAGGTGTCGGGTGGATGAGGTTAACGGAAAGGCTCCATGTTAGTGGCTGCTCGAGAGAACGAACTTGCTCATTGGGAGAAGAGGATTGAGGGGAATAGACAGAACATTCAGGAAAGGGAGGAAAAACTCCGTACTCTACGACAGCAGTTTGAAGATCTTAAGAATAAAGAGGTAATGTTAATCCTTAGAAGGTGTTTGTCTTTTGAATACTGCGGTCGCTGACTTTCGGGAGAGGCCTATGAGGTCCGCGAACGGATATTCATGGGGTTTCTCTAACTGCTGGATCGAATGGTGTATGGGTCTTTATCTGCTTGACTGCATAGCTCAGTCGGTAGGGTGTCAGGTTGTCAACCTTGTGGTCGTGAGTTCGAATTCTATGCGGAGTGTTTTTATGGATTGTACACGTAGGTGGAGCTCGCTACTCTGAAAATAAAAGCTGAAATGGAAACTGATCGGAGAGCTTTGATTGAGCAGCAAAATGAAGTCGACAAATTGAGAGCTTGTCTGGAAACGGAGGAGGTACTCTAGAGAAATACCCATTCGGGAATATCACCTATTCTGTCGAGGGAGGAAGTGAGAAATGGCTGAGGTAGGTTCGTCTTGGGACAGTACACAACACACATCTGAGTACGGGGCAGCAGCTCTTGACCGCCGAGCGGGAAAGGGACGCCCTCGCAGTTCAAGTGGAGCAGTTGCAGGAATCACTTGCAGAAGCTCGGAGACAGAGTCGGCTGTTGGAGGTGGGGGATATCGAGACAACAGCAGATTTATGAGCTTTATTACAGACTACGATCGAGAATGATCGAAGGGCTGTTGAAAAGATGGAGCACGAGCTGTCGATGACGAATATCAGACTTCAAGTCTGAGACTTGGAGAGAGCAACTAGCAACACCCCGAGGTGTCGTCGATGCGGCATCTGGTTCCAATTTGGAACTTCTAAACGAGAGATTGTTGAGCTCAGTTCGCTTGAGGAAACGAGAGGTCGACCTCGAGAGGCGCGAGATTCCTGTGAAGGATCGGATACTATTGGAACTAGAGTCGGAACGAGAATCTCTGAAGGAGAAGGTGAAAGGGGGTAGGTGATCCTGCGCCGCGTAGGGAAGATATCCCGCGTCCCTGCTTGGGGATCCCTGGAATTTGAGCTTCCTAGGGGATCCCTGTTCGTCGCAAAGTTCTCAATTTCGTGGAGTATGAGTATACCGAATCGATTGGTGGCGCGGTTTCTCGTCCCTCGACTGTCACCTGCGCTGTCCAGTCCAGCAGTGACAATCCGGCCTCCTCCCAATGCTATTGCATTGATGGGGTGGGGCGAGTGGGCGTCGAGCCTCCACAGGATTTTGGGTTCGGTCTGTTGTATTGTCGGCAGGGAGTAACCAATCAGTGTCCCGGTCTCGGTGCCAGCGTGGAAGTAGTAGCCGCTCGGTGATGCTGAGCCATTGACGATGCCAGCGCAGCCCGAGTATCACCGATCGCCGAGCTCGGGCGCATCAAGTAAGTCATTCCAAATGAAGGTGATTACGCCATGTGGCCAAGCCAAACCAATAAGAGGCTTATCTCCGAGATTCAGTCTCACTCACGATGAACTGCTTAGCTGTCTCGACTGAAACAATCACTCGTACATTTACTGGTGAGGTCTCTCTCATTCTGCACTTCCATCTGCGATCATTTTTTTCCGTTTTTTTATGTAACATGCGACGTATGTCATACGTTGTGTAGTTAGGCAGGCACCATAACCTAGCCTTTCAAGTAAGTGAAGGTTAAAAATTATTCAGTCTCATCCTCGAGTAATACGTATAACTCGAATAATACGAACACTTTGAAAGCTGCCGACGAGAAGACCGACACTTCGACTGTCGCTCAGTCTCCCTCTTCGGAGCCTCGATGGCGACGTCAGAAAGACGACCCTGTCCGAGATTTACTAACGATCCACGTATGTCATCGTGCCTTATTGATGCGATACGGCAAATGTTGCGCGATGATGAGTACGCGTTGATCGACATGTATATCGCATACGTTAATAGCACTGTTACTAACTAGTAATACTAAGTAACATCAGAACGGATTCAAGTTGAATCATTCAACTAGTACAAAGAGGCTGTCATATACTATCGGTTACTGTGGGATTAAGAGGAGCCCCCCGTTGACTAACACTACTCGGAGGGGCCATTTGGACTCAAAAGCAGAACTACTCAGACTCATAATCTCTTATGTAAACTTAACTCTCATCCTAAGAACTTGAATCGTCGTAAAAAGGGGCCATCCGGCCATAGCGAGATCGACCTGATGAGCACGGTACGCGTACACAAGCACGCATGCGAAACGAAAAGCGAGCCGCTCTACGATGGAGCTGGCAAACATGGTGTAGTCTGCTGTAATCGACCATCCTCTACTCTACAGTTACTACACGACAATGTAGAGAATTCCCTTGCAATCGATATTATGACGCGAAAATTTCGTTTATAATGGAGGAGCATAATGCACGCGATTCGCGTCCAAGCCGGAGGTTGAAGATGTCAATGTCCTTTAATACAGACAGAGTCCTTCACCGAGCCTGGGAGAACGGGAATCACCTCACGATAGGAGAGGATATTGCACGGACCTGCATAGGATATGCAGCCCTCGGGTACGGAATGCGCGCGGTTTAAGATATGCATTACCTGGGTGGTTTCCGCTTCGCTCGATATAACCGAAGCCTTTCATTCCCCAAGACTCCCCCCAGGTGTTCATGATTTTCCAATACCTAAGGCCGAATTCATCACCAGGAAATACAGTGGTACTTACGGTTTTCCTTCTGAAGAAGTGCCATACCCAACGATGATGACGTTATGGTTCGGAACCAACGCTTCACAATCCTTGGCTACAAGGTTGAGCGAAGATATGCTTGACAACTACTCGAGTGGGCTCCCACTTGTTATGATGCCTCCCTTGTAATGTACAAATGCGGGAGTCGAAGCATATATTTTGGCTCCTACGGGTCCGGTTGCCACACCGCTTATCATAGCTGCTTCATTTGCTGCTGGTATGACCATCGTTTGAGTAGCTTGCTCAGGCTGAGAGAATCAGAAAAAGCTCAAACGGTTCGGGTCGAATCTTGTTTGCTAGTTGGCTGGTCTTCATCATTTCGAGTCTTTCTTGTGCCCTTTCGACTAAGTATTTCTCGCCGATATCTCCTCGACGATTAACATTAATAGTGATGCGTTCATGTGACACAGGAACTTGCATTGTATGAAAACCTCAAGATTCGCTCGATCGAGCGTGACAGCTCACTCACTTTGAGACACTGCTGCTTCGGATCAGTGGTGATTGGTATCTTGCACGATCCGACCTCAGCCTTATAAGGATAGCTGGCATTCTTAACGATACCCTCTTTCCCGACATATTCATATGATTTCCTCGCTCTACCTCTGGTACAACCCCTAAAAACACTGAGTGTCAGTGACAGTAAGAACACACACAAGATGGGTTCTCTATGATGGAGACTCTATCGACAACCCATCCTCGGGCGAAAGAATCGTCGTCGACTCACTCATTGCCGTATGGTTGACTACAGTCGACTATTTGTTGAACTGAGAATGGGATGACCTCCGGAATCCCAGTCTTTATCTTGAAACGGCTTTCCAGCACAACTAAATGGGAGCAGCCAATGCATCGAGCAAAGACAAGGCTTGTCTGACAAGCGCGAGTGAGATTTCGTGGCGAAATATTCGATCCAACTGGAGACTTACCGGCGGCTGCTATTGCGTAGCAGCTACCACAACGTATCGTTTGATCTCGCACTGGCCCCAACGCACCAAGAGCCTGCCAATCCACCGACGCAGGAGGAGCCTTCAAGTTGTCTTCTAGGTCTGGGAAGGTTATGCTCTGTGTGAAGCGATGAGAGAGAAGTCTCACAGGCTGAGCCATTGATATTCGAGGATGATCGTTTCTCCTCGCGTTCAGGATCTAGAACACACGTTAGCATTTCATTGAATACTTCACGTGGTATATCAGCATGCTCATTGAGGCCGATCTCATAAGATATATCGCCTGAATCACGCAACAGTAGATCACAATCGTTCGCATCATCGGTGCGACATTGTTCACCGTTGGCTTTCAGATCGCTGATCTCCCTTAAACTATGCATGAACGCACCCTTCGCAACCTCGTACTGTTCCTTCGAATCATACTTCTTGTTGTACCTGCGAGATCGGAAGAGGGGAGCATGCCTGGCGCCGCCAGGCTGGCGGACAGCCAGTGGCGGTGCACTGACTAATGGTGTATCTCACATTTTTATGAACTCCTGAAAGGCTTGTTCGATGTCATCAACTCCAGCCACCTGGCTCGAGTCTCTGACCATACCCTGAGCCACGATAACGAGGTATAGAATTCTGATGGTGAACCACATAAGAGTAAAGCGTGGAGAGCCAGGCGCGCCACTAGGGGTACGCATCTGTGGCAGACGTGCTGCTTGCTGTGAGCCTTACAGTGTGAGGGTGTACAGTGAATTGCCCTGACCGCTTCTTTCCCTTTTTTGTCTTGTGTCCTCAGCAATTATCCATCACGGTCAAGCCTAGTCACGAAGTTTTCCTTCCGTTGAGTCGGAATGGCACTTCTGAGTGACCTTTGTCAGGCGTTGGCTTGTTCGATTCTCACACGGAGTTATGTAAGAGAGTTTTTTTCTGGGAACCTCACGTAAACAGATCATTCACGTAAACAGATCATTCACGCATGCACAACCCACACGGAATACGAAACGCACAACCTAAACGGAATACGAAACGCACAACCTATGGCAAGCAATAGGCCATTATGGGCATAGCAATATCGTAGCTGTTCTGAACGGGTGGGGAATAAGAATCTCACTCTCGCGCGTCTTCACGTATATCTTAATGTAAGATATAGGTGCTAGTAGCACGGTGCTACTGACCGGCGGGGTCCGCCCCCCTTCGGGAACCGCTCAGCTGTGGAGACTACTTTTATACTGAAATCGTTGCATTTTCGAAGATAATCTCGCGCATATTCGACCGTACACATTCTCATACCAATCCTAAGGATTAAATCCTCTGAAAAGCAACTTGGTTCCCCGGTAGAACTCCATATCACCACGTCAGTATGTCGATGAAATCGTTCGTAAATACGTCGTTAGGGCTCGCGATGGGCTTCGCTTGGGTTTCAACTTCTGCAGCAGTCTGTTTGTTGCCAAGCTATGCTTCCTGGTGATGGTGGAACACCACCACTAGTAGTAACGTAGTAGAAGTTATGCAAATGCCGCTAGAGGGCGTTCTGTCATACTCAGTCAACGGCGGGTCCGTATTTGATGACATCGATCCCTCGATGGTAGGTATCATGGCTAGGACAATGAAGATCATTCGGGAATGTTACAAGCTGTAACTTACAACTCGTAGAAACTACATTCGTACAAGCTTGACCCGTACAGTTTCCGTGCAGTTTGTAGTCACTTGTCGCTTTAAGGCAGAGACAATTGAGCTGTTTCGTCGAGCCATGGCTGGGAAAACAGATGAGAAGAGTTTGACATTATTATCCACTGCACTCGATTGTATTATTCGAAGATTTGATTTCGACTGTTGAAGCTCCACTACTCTTGATGTTATACTTGGTATGAACATCCATAATACGAATGTCACCAGTTTCACATGGTATGGAATCCAAACTGTTCCTGGAGTCTCCAGGCTGGACTCCAGCCGCTGGAGCAGGACCTATCCTTCCGAAGAGTAGGTCGGTTCGGTAAGATTTCCGTTTTCGCGTTTATTCTCTGGGAGACACCCTAGGAAGTCTAATATTTAAATCTATAGAATGTTTTTATCGTAAGCCATTAAGCGGGATAGTCGTGTACACCGCTCCATTGGAGCTCGAAAATCGTGTAGGATTGGCAAACTTTCAACATCTGTAAGCTATCATTCTATTTGTCAACAGCAAAATAATGTCAAGCATCATGCAATTTGAAGGCCAGCAGCCACACATTCAGAGGCAACTGTTCCTGTAAGTGATTTATCAGGAACCTGAGAAATAACATATATCTCAATGTCGATCCAAACAGTGACATTGTCTCACCGAATGCCCCTCTTCAAGATCGGGCCTCCCATCCTGGCTCTGCATCGCCATCATCACTTTCATTAGCACTAGGAGTTGCATCAACCCCACGGCTGACATCAAAATGATGAGAGCGAGCATAGCAGTGAGCACTGCTGAATAATCCGTAGGAGGTTCAACGGAAGCGCTGTTTCCGGTCTTCTCGATCTCGGGTGGTGGTGCGACCGTTGTAGTCGTGAAGAACCTGAAAGCAGGAGGGTGGGAACTCGCGTGGATCTCGAATGCTGACTTACAAATCTGTGGGAGATAGGGTCAGATCACTGAAGCTGAATGGCTTAGTCGTCTCCTGAGGCATTGAACCCTCGATTAGGTCGAGTTGCCCAGGAGGGCCAATATCCACGCCGTCGAAAAGCTTGGCATCACTCAATGCAATGAAGAAGATGACGAAATCTCCCATAGTCCACATGATGGATGGAATGTGTAATCCTGACATGATTTTGGGTACAAACAAGGTCCTCCGATGAATGGAGTTTGCGATCTACTGTGATTATCGGCGCACACGCCTGCCTGGCGATCAACGTGTTCTGAGGCGAGCGAGAAATATATCACCCTGAGTCTCAGGGCCTGAGAACTACAAGTTTCCCAAGTTTCCCAAGTTGCAACGCATGTTCAAGTTCTATCGCATTTTTCTGATCAAGTGAAGTTGGTTCTTAATCATTTTCTCGTGTCGTGTTGAAGTAAGAGTGTTCGTCAATTTGAATAAGGTGATGGAGCGTGTCAGCGGTCAGAGTTGCACTCGTATGGCTTCCACTGATGAGGTCGTAAGGAAGGCGGTATCCTCGGAGTTCAAGGAATTCGTCAAGTCTCGAGGGCTGGCAGGGGAATTGAAGAGCCTCTTGCGGACGAGGCTTGTCCAAGAGTTTCGAAGGAGTGAGAGGAGACTTGAAGGCCATAAGACGATAAAGCTGAGCTTAAGGACGAAGGCTCTGGTCTCACTTATTGGAGACTATTTGAGGTGGACCAAGAAAGACCTCAGCCTCTCGGTGGGGTGATGTACTCGAGGATGCGATTAAAGCGGTGGTGGTCGCCAGGTTCTCCTGCCCGACTACGGCCTTTCCCCGTCGGATATGCTCGCGGAGGAGGACATTATGCAAGCCCTCGGGGTACCGGACTCTCAACTCGTCCTTGATAAAGAGAATCCTTTGCTATTGAATATTGTCAATGGAGTTAGCAATACCAAAAGGGCGTCCGAATCAGCGAGGTGGAGGACAAAAGCAACAGAACCACCTCACTCGTTGGAGCTTAGGATATGCGCCTCTAGCCAGACCGACTCTCCGGAGGCCTTCCTTACTCTAGAAGAGAAGCTGCGTGCACTCGAGGATGTCGCGGCGGCTGCTTCTGCAGGCAACGATGAGGATCGTCATAGACGAATAGAAGAACGAATGCTCCGGTAATTCCGTAGCTCTTGGCCGTGTCCGTCTTGAGCATTTTGTGACAGATATAAACGTGAGTGTGACAACAGGGTGAGAGAGGAAGTAGAAGCTCAGGTGCAACGGATAAGGTCGGAAGTAGTAGCATGAGCTTGCCGAATGACGTATGCAGGTCCATCGAGCTCCCCAACGCGAGACTGGAGGCTGCCGCGCAGTTGCGAGCTGAACAGCGGACGGCTCGAGAGGAGCTCGAGCGAGAGGCTAAGGAACGGGAAGCGAGGTTCAAACTTGTTGAACAAAGAACAGTACTTAAAGCTCCATGAGGGGACAGTGATCAGTAGCATGTGTTTTAGTTGGAGAGATTGCGGCTGAAAGAGTCCGAGCTTGATAGGAGGGCGGTCTCGTCAAGAGAGACACTCCTCCGGGATCTCGAGATCGAACGAGCTGGCGTACGGGAGAAGGCCCGCGCATGTGATAAGGTGTCGGGTGGATGAGGTTAACGGAAAGGCTTCATGTTAGTGGCTGCTCGAGAGAACGAACTTGCTCATTGGGAGAAGAGGATTGAGGGGAATAGACAGGATATTCAGGAAAGGGAGGAGAAACTCCGTACTCTACGACAGCAGTTTGAAGATCTTAAGAATAAAGAGGTAATGTTAATCCTTAGAAGGTGTTTGTCTTTTGAATACTGCGGTCGCTGACTTTCGGGAGAGGCCTATGAGGTTCGCGAACGGATATTCATGGGGTTTCTCTAACTGCTGGATCGAATGGTGTATGGGTCTTTATCTGTTTGACTGCATAGCTCAGTCGGTAGAGTGTCAGGTTGTCAACCTTGTGGTCGTGAGTTCGAATTCTATGCGGAGTGTTTTTATGGATTGTACACGTAGGTGGAGCTCGCTACTCTGAAAATAAAAGCTGAAATGGAAACTGATCGGAGAGCTTTGATTGAGCAGCAAAATGAAGTCGACAAATTGAGAGCTTGTCTGGAAACGGAGGAGGTACTCTAGAGAAATACCCATTCGGGAATATCACCTATTCTGTCGAGGGAGGAAGTGAGAAATGGCTGAGGTAGGTTCGTCTGGGGGCAGTACACGATACACATCTGAGTACGGGGCAGCAGCTCTTGACCGCCGAGCGGGAAAGGGACGCCCTCGCAGTTCAAGTAGAGCAGTTGCAGGAATCACTTGCAGAAGCTCGGAGACAGAGTCGGCTGTTGGAGGTGGGGGATATCGAGACAACAGCAGATTTATGAGCTTTATTACAGGCTACGATCGAGAATGATCGAAGGGCTGTTGAGAAAATGGAGCACGAGTTGTCGATGACGAAAATCAGACTGGAGAAGAGCAACGAGCAGCACGCTGAGGTGACGGCGATGCGGCGTCGGGCTTCAAACGAGAGAGTGTTGGGGTCAGTTCGATCGCTTGAGAAAACGAGAGGTCGAACTTGAGAGGCGCGAGATTTCAGCGAAGGATCGGCTTTTAAGGGAGCTAGAATCAGAACGAGAATCTTTCAAGGAGAAGCTGAGAGGGGGTAGGCCTCGTTAACACTTTGATGTCGGCAAGGGAGCCGACTGTGTCTGGTTCTATCCTAATTGAGAGTACTTAGTCGCCGCCGGCATCCTTCGATCGGTGTCTTATCGCCATACGTACGTGAGGTTGCTTAAGAACTCAGCTACCTATGTACGTATTGTTAGCGTCTATCTGTTAAATGTGTCTTATCGCTACTGTTTCAGTGGAGGAGCGTGAAGCTGAGCTGCAGTCGAAGGCTCATGAGATGAAGTACCAAGTCGATGCAGTAGAGGAATGGAGGAAACAGCTTGCAGCGGAGAAGCAACGAGAGGTGTGATATGTGTGGTGGATGACGAGCACTCTCTTGTGGATAAAGGGGGAGGGGTAGGCTGGGATGTGATCAGGTGGAGTCGGTTCGTGCTGAGCTGAGAGCCGAAGCGGAGGCTGAGAAGCGGCAGGCGAGGGAGAGTTTGGAGGAGGTCCAGAGGGAAAAGACTAAGCTCGAGGCCTGGAAGGTAGTGTGAGCCATCATCACTGTTGGAGGAGGTGTTGGTTCAGGCTCGTCTACAGAGTGTCCAAACGGCTCAGCTAGCGGCTAATGATCACTTGGCTCAGGCGGAGGAGGAAAGGCAAGCTATGCTGGATAGGGTAATGCATCTCGAATGAATTTGTGGACCATCTCCTCGTAATGTGTGAGAAACAGTCAATGAGCGACAGTTTGCCGCACACCGACTGTCAGTGTCCGCTTACTCAGATAGATATGCTCGAGCTACAGCTACGCATAGAGAGGGGGCGAGGGTCGCTACCAGAGGAAGTTCATCGTGTTGCGTACTCGGAGTCGATCAGCTGGTCTGGTACTCCGCCGATCGAGGCAACATCGAAAGTTGAGAGGGGAGAAGGGGCTCGGATGGAGTTGTTGGGACGGGTGGCGGAGCCTCGCGTACGGACAGATCCCACTGAGGTGAAGGGAACTCGTCTGCGGTGTGTTATCATCCTTCAATCGAATAGGTGGTTCAGGATGCCAAACAGCGTGAGGGAGGGAAGGAGAAAGGGGCGGAGAGCTCCCCCAGCTCTACTGGCAGCTTTCAAATGGTCGACAATGCGGAACCTCAGACTGTGGTGTCAACTGCCTGTTTGAGAGTGAGCGAAGGACAGGAGGTTGAGGAGCCCAGGGAGGAAGTGTCTGTCGGCGCCCGAGATTCGAAGCCTGTGAGACCTCCGCGATCGCCTTCCCCATTGTGATAGTGCTTTTCAGGGCTCGGATGCTACGCCCGATGCTGGTGGCGATGTGCGGAAGGTTATGGAATCGAATCCACTGGCTGCGGCTGCTCTTGAAGAGGACGATGACGAAGTCGTGGAAGAGAATGTAGGTCACTGAATTTCGACTTGATCATCGTTCCTCCAGATAGTGATTGCGAGTTCGCCTGGCGATGCGACAATCGAGTCGATTGGGCTTTCCTCTGATGCTTCTCTCAGCAATAAGGGTGATACTATTGAGGCTGGCTCAGAGGGAGTTCGGGATGAACCATCGGCGCACACGGAGAAAAAGTCTTTGGCGGGAGATCATGATGGTGGAGGGCAGAACGACTTACATAATGAGCGTCCTATTGCAGAGGAGGAGCCTGGCGATTGGGACTCGGATGAATTCGCGAGTCATCAAGATTCAGAATTGGTCGACTATGATTGGTGAACATACTTCAAATTAATACCATGCCACAGTTTCTTCTTACATGAAGGTTGTTGAGTTATCTGAGTGGCAGTAGTATTCACCTTGACTCGATTGCGACAGGAAAAGTGGAAACGTTCTGTGGCTGTTCGAATGCGAGAGAAACACGAACAGTATCCAGTCGAATCGTTGGCAATTATACGTTGTCCTTTGTAAGAGCCCCATCGCCACACAGGCCGCTCTGTTGACGATACGTAAATTGTGAATAATGCTCCAGAGCACAGGTTAGTTTTACTTAGAAGTCTCGAGTAACGAAATCGAAAGCACTATACAGCGGTGTAATACAATCCGGCAATCGCAACTTTTTGCTGAAATTGCGGATTTGCCGAATGCTATAATTCCTGACAGTCTCACTTTTTTGCACTTTTGTATGTGCTGCTTTCTCAGCTACAAAGTGGCAACCACATTTACACCCTAGCGATTTCTGGTATAGATTTTAGCAACCAAATGTTGAAAGTAGCAAATTCATAAGTGTTTCCCAGCAAGTCGCTCTGTTTTGCTTCTTTTTTGCTGCATTGTATATTTCCCCGGAATGTTTTACACTCTGGCACTTATGCCCAAGTGTGCTTCGCCCGCACGTTTTCGTTATTCTGGCAAGTTGTGCCCATTTGCTGTTTGATTTGTTTCGCGTTGTAATTATATAGTCTGGTATTTTTATATATCCTGATATCCTTCTCGAGAAATGTCCATCCATAGGCACCAGTAGGCTGCCTTTTAGATCTGATCTAATTGATTCAATTATTATCGACTATGTAGGAGTGTTGAGGAACTATACAGGCGAAAGATAAACACGGAGAAAATTCCCAAGTATGAACTCTAGCATCCCACACGTAACATTCGTCCACTTCGAATTCCCGCGTGACAATTTGCTCCATCCTTTTTGCAAGCCTCTAGTGCCAAAGCAGGAATTCGCTCCATTGCGAAGGTGCCCATTCGTAAACCGGCAAATTGCTCCTCTGAAAAGTAGCAATTTGCTCAATAGTAGAAGGAGCAATTTATTGGTTTGCCCCTTTGTTTGAGTAAAATTACTCAATTTTGTTGCATAGTAGCACTTCACATAGCGGCAACTTTTATATATTGTAGCAATTTTCTGAAATATAAACGAGCAAACGATATTCATTCGAGCAGTTTCTGCTATACAATACGGCAAATTTGCGTATTTGTAAAGTTAATTTTGCTACTTTGCTCCTTTGTATATCAGCCATAGCGTTCTTACACACTAGCACAACAGCAAAAGCCGCAGGAAATGTACATTCCAGCTAATTGGCACTTTTTTGCTATTTGCTACTTCGCTATTTTGTAACTGAGCCCTATACAGTATCCCATATGTTCGGAATATTTTCTGTATGACATCTAATAGTGTGAGGGCGAGTCGTGGATTTTATCGAATATGCTTGCAGAGATTGGAATGGCAATGAGTTGGCTTGAGTGCGATCATTTTCTTTCGTTTCGTAGTCGTATGTTTCTGTGAGCGATTCGACACCCAGGCCCAGTAATAACTAGGTAACTCGAAAACTGATGATTTACTCGATCATACTGAAAACGGTTTCTCACCAGCGATCTCAAAAAATCACTAGAAAATATACGCGCCTCTACTGAAAAGGTACAGCTGGACTTCTGATAGAAAAACGAACAAATTTCGGCCGTCTTCACATCAAACTATTGTTCGTTTACAATCACACCTGCGGCGCCCATTCCACCACCGATGCACATCGAAACGACGCCGAGTTTAGCTTTGGTGCCTGAAGAAGCAATTTCGTGTTTTGCGCGAACAAACTAACCGTTTACGTTTCATTTCTGGGAGTAGCGTGGCGATCTGCCTAGCGCCAGTGCACCCTAGTGGGTGTCCAAGCGCGATGGCACCTCCCTTCGGGTTCAACTTCTCAGCTGGAATCTTCAACTTGTGCACACAGTATCTGACAACCATCGTTCCAAAGGAACAGCCAAGAACACTCACGTTGCCTGACTGGCAAACGCCTCGTTGATCTCGAATATGTCGATATCGTCAACTTTAAGGCCAGTCTGAGCGAGTACTGCAGGAATGGCCGCGGCGGGACCGATGCCCATAATCTCGGGTGGGACACCAACTGCTGAGAAACCTTGCAATCTAGCCAGTATGGGCAGCCCCTGTCTTTGGGCCTCATCTCGGCGAGCAAGGAGGACACAGGCAGCGCCATCAGTCACTTGAGAGGCATTCCCAGCAGTAGTTGAACCACCTTTGAGGAAGGCAGGGCGGAGAGAGGAAAGACCTATGATTTGATAAAGGAGTGGTATGAAAAAATCAGAGAATATCAAGTCACCTTCCAAAGTCGTATCGGGTTTGCAACCCTCGTCCTTGGTCACTGTCACTGTAGTGGACTTGCCGGTCTTCGGATCAACAATCTTGGTCACGACTGGGACCTTCGACACACCATAGATAAGCTGCGGAATGATAAAAAAACTCACAATTTCGTCATCAAACAGTCCATCCTTCTGAGCCTTGCATGCCTTACGATGCGACTCCACAGCCATTCTGTCTTGGACCTCGCGAGTGATTCCGAACCTAAGAAGATCTTCCAAGACTTTCCATCGTGTCGGGTATAAATATTTAGATATCAATTAGTTATTGTTATAATATACAGTAATGATATAAATAGTAAATAAGCGATAACAATGACCCTTGAACCAACACCCTACTTGGTAGCGACGTTCTCACTGGTCATTCCCATCGGAATAAGGCAGTTCCTAGCAACTTCGTGCTCGAAGACGTTCTCGGAGACTTTACTCGGGTCCAACGCTGTCATCATATCATACCTGGGGGAAAGCCCAAGTGAAACTTGGAGCCGAAACCAGTCTACTTACATGCTCATGCTTTCAACACCACCAGCAAGCCCAACTTTGATATAGCCGGCTTTGATATCAGAAGCTATGTTAGCTACTGCCTGGAGGCCACTCGAACACTGACGGTTAATTGAAACTGTTGGAACCTCAACCGGGATGCCAGCCATCAGAGCAGCCATGCGAGCCGGGACTACACCCGAACCTGAAGTAGTAGACGATGCAAAGATCTAAACGAGTTGAAATGCCTACCAGACTGCAGCACGTTGCCCATTTGAACATCCCCGATGGTCCTCGGGTCTACACCAGTCCTCTCGAGCACAGCTTTCATCACTGGGCACATCATATCCTCGACCGAAGTCGTACGAAAGGATCCTCTCTTGGCCTGTGTCAACAGAGTCAACATAAGATGCTGTTATAAGTTACCTTGCAGAGTGGGGTCCTCAAGGCAGCGCAGATGACTACGTCATCAGGCCTCTTCTCATCCCTGTAGTTGTTTGGAGGACCACCCGAGACGTGAGTGGAGACGGCGGCCACACGGTTCATGGCTAAGTGAAGGAGGGAGTCTGCCGAACAATCTTGGTCACGACTGGGACCTATATACAGGTAGACGACTGACTACACTCAGGATTCCGTCAATTCAGCGTATCATCGATGCTCCATTGACAGAGTTGAAGAACGTCCGAACTTCGGACTCCGAAGTACCCACTTAATCTTCCAATAAACGCAAAACGCGCATTTCTCATCACTATCGATCATTATGGCGCGCGCTAAATGCAAGACGTGTTCGATCCGAATCTTCAGTCGATCTTGTCGCACTGAGTCTCAGATGGTTATTAGGGATATTTCTCTTGATCGACAAGTTATTCTAAAAGTCTCATTTCCATTGAAACGCCCTTTTGTACGCTACAAGAGAATTACGAGGGGTTTAACTCTTGTATGTTGTTTGCAAGAGTCGCTTTTCTCGTCGATAGCCGGGAGTCATACTAGATAGCTTAGTAGAGAGGAGGTATTCGAATACCAATAAGTCTGATGAAATATGCGTATTAACCCTATGGGCATGCGTGCGGAATCTGTCTCACCCTGGTGAGAGATAAGCGCGCTCGCCCAGGATAGGCGAATGATCGAGGATGATTGTATATACTCGTATATATTCATTCATTCGTATACCACTTGGGGACTGTGTTGATGTGGTATCATCTATCCTCAAGCGCACATCCTCAGTTGCCGTTTTGCACTATCCACTCGACTCTATTTCCAGGCCTACGACTGTGGAGTTAAATTCCCAACAGAGTGATCGCGATGGAGGTAAAGACAAACAGTTGGCGTAGTTGTACACTATGTGAATACTATCATGGATAAGGTTACTTCGTGATCCGCGATATGGCTACGACAGCGAATGGATGCCGAGTTGCTGGTCAATACCAATATCAGCAGCGAAGCTCATCGAGTTCATCTCTTACCAGGGGCGAGAACACCCCACGTACCAGAGGCACCGCGAGTAAGGAAAGCATCTAGGGTGTCGTCAACTTTCAAGGAAACGAACGCCTACTCCATCACACTAGGAGCTCATTGTCTGTAAAATATCATCCCGTGTGCGTTTGCAAGATTCCCATTCAAGAGATTGGTTAATTGGATACACAAGAGCGGATATAAGAGGAAAGTTACACAAGTAATGGAATTGGAGTTCTGATGAATTCATCTTCGACCCTGGTCGTCTTGCCCTTCATCGTCCGCATGCTTGTCCTCAATCAACGCATCTGACACGTAGGGACAGGGTGGAAAATGTGCACACGGTCAACTACATGTGCTGGTGCTGACAATGTGAAAATTTCGAGGAAATTTCGGGAAATTCTCTTTGGTTTCTGTACACTCCTACCCGAATCCGTATACAGTGGGGAAACTCCTAAGCTCAGCTGAGGAAAGCAAACATGTATTTCTCCAACACGGCAAGTGACCGTAACAAGACCTACAGTTGAGGGCACACAGAGCTGAGATCAGCGACAGCTGAATCATCGTCGATTTCCACGGTAAATTGGATATGATGTCCTAAGGAAGATACCATAAAACGCACAAGTTAGAGGAGTTTACCATTAACGGCTGTGGATCAGGGAGATTGGGGTTGGCACTCTGGCATCTCAGTATAGTGGACACGCTCAAGAAGGGTGTGGTTAGAACAGCACCATGCCCAACGAGACAGGCCCGCATCTGAGGAAAGTGATATCGAACTGCTATAAGGCTCATATAACACCTACCACTAGTTCGTCCGTTTTGTCTAGGTGAGGATGACGCGATTGCAGACAGGACATAACCCATTGAGAAAACTCTTCATATGATAGGGATATTATGTAGGGGATAACACCGGACCAGAGGCCGCCAACGCCGTCATACCTAAATAACAGATTCGGGGATCGAACCGAGGACCTTTCCATAACAGGTCAAAGTGCTGAACGAACTGAGCTGAACATACTATAATATATTACTCAACGGTCTCCTTGAGGCACTGCTGTAACCCACAGTCCAAGATGGGATCCTGGCCGTATACAGCGATACGAGCTGTTGCCAACAACAACGGATAGGTAATGAACTCTACCGCGTATCTAACGCTTCCTCTATTGAAACAGTGAAGCTCATCGCGGGAATATTACCTGTACGCCGTCTTCTTTTGCTGACTGACTTCACGACCCGCAACAGGATACCTCAGAATAACCTTGGCGCAACTATGGAGAATATTGACCTAATACGGACCAGACGGAGGTTATCGATGCACCACGGGTTGACCACAGCAATAGTTAGCACTACTACAATCTACAGGAGCCAAGCGAGCGGGTTATGGTGGCCGCTCTTAGTACATCAACTCCCCTGTACAGCGCCCCCACACCATAGACATGCTTGATATCCTTCATCTTGTGCAACACCAAAGGCATCCGAATCTTTTGGACCTTCCGCATTGCCATCAATTCAGGCTCCTTATAGACCAGGAGCCGAGCATTGGCCTGAATATCGGTGCTGGGGATCACCAGAGGTAGAGTAGTACCATGAACATGGGGTAGGTCAGCAACAGGGTCGGGGATGGGACCAGGTCCTTAAGCAACTGTTTTACTGCTCTTCCATCGTCGTCGGATTTCGTCATTGGGACAAACAACTAATTTTCCGCAAAGTCGACCATTGGAGCTATCGCTGAAGTAACTAACTCAAAGACTGGAAACGAACCAGTTGAAAGAGGCAGATGAAAATGAAAATGGTAGTCATTGCCATGCCAGGGGACGGGCTCTAACATGGAGAGATCTACTACCTATCGTACTCCACAACAGGAGACCCCAAGTGGGTGACACGCATTACCATGATGATTGGTAGAGTATCTTTAGGCACTACCCTTAACACGCCTCAGCCTATTACATCAAACACCGCCTCGCTGTTCTATTTGAACTCCATTCATTGCTGCTGTGCAAGACACCGCTGAGTACCCCTATCGATTCCCGTTAATGTGCATCCAACCTCCCAAGCGTGGTCTTTAGGCTATCCCCTCAACACCACTCATCAACCTCAGCGACTTCACAGGAGCTGCCAAGCTTTCGGTATGGTACTCTACCGTTTCTACAGTGTTAGAGGTCTCCGACCGCAGTAGACTGCCGAAGTCCTCATCTCGAGGACTCGCTGCCACATAGCCCTCCCACCATGCAATCACCTGTGCCATGGTAGTTCACATGAAAAGCGGCCGACCGAATGACTACTACGGACCTCGCAGTACGGTTCTCCAGTGTTGCGCCCATCCAATAACAATACACAGTTAATAACTGTCATTGCTCGAAATTGGTCTTGTGTTCGACGAATTTGAGCTCGCGTTTCCGAATTCATAAACTTCATTCACGAATTTGAACTTTCACTTTCGACCGGTCTACGAAAATCGAACTTACATTTCGAATTTGAACTTTCATCTCGTGTAAAACTTCTTTCACTCGTCGAAAATCAAATCTCATTTATCTGATTTGTTCTTTCACTTGTTGAATTTGAGATTGAGAAGGTATAGAATATCGGAGGTTCAAGCTCCACATTCCAAAACGATCGGTACAAAGTCCACGCGAAATATTAGATTTATTTATAGTTTCATGTCTATATCTTATATTATGAAATACTTTATAGTATTTTCTAACCATAGATAACATTATATTTAATATAAATAAGTGATTATACGGTTATAACATGATCCTTTTTATCGACAGCGGACCATAGGGGTCGGCACCGAACTTTTAGTAGAGGTTCGGTTCGGTTCGGAGTTCGGTCGACCAAAGTTCGGTTCGGATAGTTCGGTTCGGCGGTTCGGGAACCGAACCGAATTTTCGCCGAACCCGAACCACGTTTTTGTTCGGCCGGACCTAGGAGATGATGTGGATATTCTCAGGGAGTCCCTGACAGGGACAACCTCCCGGAGGTTGTCCGGATCTCGTAAGCTTAGGGTGACTCGGAGGTCCTCCGAGTCACCCTGAGGTTACGTGATCAGGTCAGGCTGAGCACTTTTCGTGAGGAGCGCCTGGCAAATTGTCAATAACAACGTCTTCGGCAAGACATCACACTTGGAAGTCTCTCCCTCAACACAAGTCGAGTTAGGATATGAGGTTCAGATACACAATGTTTCAGACTACTCTGCGAATCGCAGACTGCGATGATCGTCGAACACCGAAATCATTGATCGATTGTGATTCGCGACTTTTTGGGACGTTCGCAATTTGCGAACCTCTCAAAAAATGAACGTTGAACCACTGTAGGTTAGAGTCTAGGGCTTAGACTCCAAGCCTAAGATCAATGCAATTTGCATTGATCTCAATGAGATCATCTCATGCATCATGCAAATACCAACGCTCGCTCCGAATTTTACCTTCCTCATTGATGAAACTCAAAGCACTGTCATTAGCATTGAGACATGCGAGATGGTTCATCTGATGCGAATTAAATATCCTCCGTGCGCGTTGCAAATTGTAACGGCGCATGTGCACGCGTGCATGACTATTCGGCTCGCCACACGACTCTCATCGGATTACTCCCTTCGACTACCCTCTCATCCAACGATGGCTAAGAAGTCCCCTGCTATCGGTATCGACCTTGGTACTACCTACTCCTGTGTTGGCGTCTGGAAGAACGATACGGTAGAGATTATCGCCAATGACCAGGGCAACCGTACCACCCCCTCTTACGTGGCCTTCACCGACACTGAAAGGTTGATCGGTGATGCCGCTAAGAATCAGGTTGCAAGGAACCCTGAGAACACCGTCTTCGATGCCAAGCGTCTCATTGGACGCAAGTACGACGATCAGGTTGTCCAGCACGATATCAAACTGTGGCCCTTCAAGGTTTCTGCTGGGGCGGATGGAAAGCCTATGATCGAGGTGCATTACCAGGGCGAGGTCAAGAAGTTCCATGCCGAGGAGATTTCTTCTATGGTACTGGTAAAGATGAAAGAGACTGCTGAGGCGTATTTGGGCACTAAGGTTGACGATGCCGTCGTCACTGTCCCTGCATATTTCAACGATTCCCAGAGACAGGCCACTAAGGATGCTGGTTCCATTGCTGGTCTCAACGTCCTGCGTATCATCAACGAGCCTACTGCCGCTGCTATTGCTTATGGTCTCGATAAGAAGGGTGAGGGTGAGAAGAACGTCCTCATCTACGATCTTGGTGGCGGAACCTTCGATGTCTCCCTCTTGACTATCGAGGATGGTATCTTCGAGGTTAAGGCCACTGCTGGTGATACCCATCTTGGTGGTGAGGATTTCGATAACCGTATCCTCGACTTCTGCATGCAGGACTTCAAGCGTAAGAACCGTGGCAAGACCATTGAGGGCAACCAGAGGGCCATGCGTCGTCTTCGTACCCAATGCGAGCGCGCTAAGAGAACTCTCTCTTCCTCTACTCAGGCTAGCATTGAGATTGATTCTCTCTTCGAGGGTATTGATTACAACTGCACGCTCTCTCGTGCTCGTTTCGAGGAGCTCTGTATGGACTACTTCCGGAACTCCATGGGCCCTGTCGAGAAGTGTTTGCGTGACTCTGGCATCGACAAACGTAATGTCCACGAAGTTGTCCTCGTTGGAGGTTCGACCCGTATTCCCAAGGTCCAAGCTATGATCCAAGAGTTTTTCAATGGAAAGGAGCCTTGCAAGTCCATCAACCCTGACGAGGCAGTTGCATTTGGTGCTGCTGTTCAGGCTGCTATCCTCACTGGTGAAGGTTCCAGCCAGGTTCAGGACCTTCTGCTTTTGGATGTGACTCCTCTTTCCCTTGGTCTCGAGACTGCTGGTGGTGTTATGACCAAGCTCATTGAGCGTAACACTACTATTCCCACCAAGAAGAATCAGACTTTCACCACCTACGCCGATAACCAGCCCGGTGTGTTGATCCAGGTGTTCGAGGGTGAGCGCGCTATGACGAAGGATAACAACCTGCTTGGCAAGTTCCAGCTCGAGGGTATTCCTCCGGCCCCCCGTGGTGTCCCCCAGATTGAGGTTACTTTCGATATCGATGCCAATGGTATCCTTAACGTGAGTGCTCAGGACAAGTCCACCGGCAAGAGTAACAAGATTACCATCACCAACGAGAAGGGCCGTCTTTCTCAAGCTGATATTGACCGTATGGTTAACGAGGCCGAGAAGTACAAGGCTGAGGATGAGGCCAATAAAGAAAGGATTGATGCCAAGAACGGCGTCGAGAACTACTGTTACACACTGAAGAATACTCTCCAAGATGAGAAACTGAAGGATAAGATATCTGACAAGGACAAGTCTGCTATTGAGAAGGCGGTCTCCGAGGCTCTGGATTGGTTGGACAAGAACCAGTTGGCCGAGAAAGAGGAATTTGAGGCTAAGCAGAAGGAGGTCGAGGGTATTGTCAATCCTATTATGATGAAGGTCTATCAGGCCGCTGGTGGTGATGCTGGCGGCATGCCTGGGGATGGATCTCCACCTCCAGCTGCCGGTGGTTCTGGACCGACAGTGGAAGAGGTTGATTAGCTGTATTTGGGTAGATTCTAAGTGTGTATTTCATTTTTTAAGAGTGTTGCAATTCTTTGAGGCACATACTATATGTGACATACAAAAACCATCGAGACACCTCAGCGGAAAATATGTCGTTTTGTGTCGTTAATACTCCTAATCGGAATATTGGTCATTTTTCCCAGGTTCTTAAGCGTGCTCAAACGGTGTATTATCAACGACTTGACGTGCACGCAAGTTCGGGCTCAATCAGTTAGCTATAGATCAGTTGTGGGTAGGCGCATCATGTATCCTGTTAGTCGTAGTCTGCTTTTGAACAATGTCTGACAAGAAGTCTCCCGCTATCGGTATCGATCTTGGTACCACCTACTCCTGCGTCGGTGTCTGGAAGAATGACAATGTTGAGATTGTCGCCAATGACCAGGGTAACCGTACCACCCCCTCTTACGTGGCCTTCACCGACACTGAAAGGTTGATCGGTGATGCCGCTAAGAATCAGGTTGCAAGGAACCCCGAGAACACCGTCTTCGATGCCAAGCGTCTTATTGGGCGCAAGTTCACCGATCCCGTTGTTCAGCACGATATGAAGATGTGGCCTTTCAAGCTTATCGATGGATCTGATGGCAGGCCCATGATCGAAGTCACCTTCAAGGGTGAGACCAAGAGGTTCCACGCTGAGGAGATATCCTCTATGGTTCTAACCAAGATGAGAGAAACCGCCGAGGCCTTTCTTGGAGTGAAAGTCAACGATGCCGTCGTCACTGTCCCTGCATATTTCAATGATTCCCAGAGACAGGCCACTAAGGATGCTGGTTCCATTGCTGGTCTCAACGTCCTTCGTATCATCAACGAGCCTACTGCCGCTGCTATTGCTTATGGTCTCGATAAGAAGGGTGAGGGTGAGAAGAACGTCCTCATCTACGATCTTGGTGGCGGAACCTTCGATGTCTCCCTCTTGACTATCGAGGATGGTATCTTCGAGGTTAAGGCCACTGCTGGTGATACCCATCTTGGTGGTGAGGATTTCGATAACCGTATCCTCGACTTCTGCATGCAGGACTTCAAGCGTAAGAACCGTGGCAAGACCATTGAGGGCAACCAGAGGGCCATGCGTCGTCTTCGTACCCAATGCGAGCGCGCTAAGAGGACCCTCTCTTCCTCTACTCAGGCTAGCATTGAGATTGATTCCCTGTTTGAGGGTATTGACTACAACTGCACTCTCTCTCGTGCTCGTTTCGAGGAGCTTTGCATGGACTACTTCCGGAACACTATGGGGCCTGTCGAGAAGGTCCTCCGTGATTCTGGCATCGATAAGCGCAATGTCCACGAAGTTGTCCTCGTTGGTGGCTCCACTCGTATCCCCAAGGTCCAGTCTATGATTCAGGATTTCTTCAATGGAAAGGAGCCTTGCAAATCCATCAACCCTGATGAGGCTGTCGCTTACGGTGCCGCTGTTCAGGCTGCCATCCTCACTGGTGAGGGTTCCAGCCAGGTTCAGGACCTTTTGCTCTTGGATGTGACTCCTCTTTCCCTTGGTCTCGAGACTGCTGGTGGTGTTATGACCAAGCTCATTGAGCGTAACACTACTATTCCCACCAAGAAGAATCAGACTTTCACCACCTACGCCGATAACCAGCCCGGTGTGTTGATCCAGGTGTTCGAGGGTGAGCGCGCTATGACGAAGGATAACAACCTGCTTGGCAAGTTCCAGCTCGAGGGTATCCCCCCGGCCCCCCGTGGTGTTCCCCAGATTGAGGTTACTTTCGATATCGATGCCAATGGTATCCTTAACGTGAGTGCTCAGGACAAGTCCACCGGCAAGAGTAGCAAGATCACCATCACCAACGAGAAGGGCCGTCTTTCTCAAGCTGATATTGACCGTATGGTCAACGAGGCCGAGAAGTACAAGGCTGAGGATGAGGCCAATAAGGAGAAGATCGAGGCCAAGAACGGTCTCGAGAACTACTGTTACACATTGAAGAACACTCTCCAGGACGAGAAGCTGAAGGATAAGATATCTGACGAAGACAAGGTCGCTATCGACAAGGCTGTCGGTGAAGCACTCGAATGGTTGGAAAAGAATCAGTTAGCCGAGAAGGAAGAATTTGAGCACAAACAGAAGGAGGTCGAGAGTATTGTTAACCCCATTATGATGAAGGTCTACCAGGCTGCTGGCGGTGACGCTGGTGCTGCTCCTGGTGCCGCGCCCGGTGAGGGTCCTGCACCCGGTGGGGTCTCGTCTGGTCCCACTGTCGAGGAGGTCGACTAGAGACTTTTGCTAGATGCTGCTAAACGTATGTGACGTATATTTGATACGCTGAGTGAACTGTATAAGAATCCGGGTTTAGCATTCGATTATCGCATTATTTGAACACTCTCCTAAGCCGTGCTACGGTGGTGTTTGTCAATCGCAGCTGTTGGAAGCGAGAGAATAGACGACCATTACATTTGGTTATTTGTATTCAACTCCTAAGTTTCGCGATGAATGATGACCCTCTTTATAGTGGTAACTCTGATTGCTCTATCGACCAACAATCTACTCAGATTCATACGAGTCCGAACGACCAGGGATGTATACCACACAAATTCACAGAACTCCAACCGTGTCGTGGAATACGCAGTTAACAAGATTTCCCTCCAACTGATAGCAATCTCACGTATCATTGAGAAAAAGGGGATCCTAAATGTCGATCCGACCAGCCTGATATATAGTAGACACGGTATTCCATATCATGCTACAATACACAATGAAGCTTTGTGCAACGCTGCGCGCTGTCCCTCTTTCAGCCTTGGCATCGACTCTTCATCATTGGTTTATTTTATACCAAATTTGTTCAACATGTCTGATAAGAAAGCTCCTGCTATCGGTATCGATCTCGGTACGACCTACTCCTGCGTAGGTGTTTGGAAGAACGACGCCGTCGAGATCATCGCCAATGATCAGGGTAACCGTACCACCCCCTCTTACGTGGCCTTCACCGACACTGAGAGGTTGATCGGTGATGCCGCTAAGAATCAGGTTGCAAGGAACCCTGAGAACACCGTCTTCGATGCCAAGCGTCTTATTGGACGCAAGTACGACGATCCGGTTGTTCAGCACGATAAGAAGATGTGGCCCTTCAAGGTTATCAGTGGTTCTGATGACAAGCCTATTATTGAGGTTGACTATAAGGGCGAGCATAAGCAATTCCATGCTGAGGAGATCTCCTCTATGGTTCTTGGTTATATGAAGGAGACTGCTGAGGCTTTCCTGGGATCCAAGGTCACTGATGCCGTTATCACTGTCCCTGCATACTTCAATGATTCCCAGAGACAGGCCACTAAGGATGCTGGTTCCATTGCTGGTCTCAACGTCCTTCGTATCATCAACGAGCCTACTGCCGCTGCTATTGCTTATGGTCTCGATAAGAAGGGTGAGGGTGAGAAGAACGTCCTCATCTACGATCTTGGTGGCGGAACCTTCGATGTCTCCCTCTTGACTATCGAGGATGGTATCTTCGAGGTTAAGGCCACTGCTGGTGATACCCATCTTGGTGGTGAGGATTTCGATAACCGTATCCTCGACTTCTGCATGCAGGACTTCAAGCGTAAGAACCGTGGCAAGACCATTGAGGGCAACCAGAGGGCCATGCGTCGTCTTCGTACCCAATGCGAGCGCGCTAAGAGGACCCTCTCTTCCTCTACTCAGGCGACCATTGAGATTGATTCTCTCTTCGAGGGTATCGACTACAATTGCACTCTCTCTCGTGCTCGTTTCGAGGAGCTTTGCATGGACTATTTCCGCAACACTATGAGCCCTGTCGAGAAGGTCCTCCGTGATGCCGGTATCGACAAGAGGAGTGTTAACGAGATCGTCCTTGTTGGTGGCTCCACTCGTATTCCCAAGGTCCAGTCTATGATCAAGGAGTTCTTCAATGGCAAGGAGCCTGCCAAGTCCATCAACCCTGATGAGGCTGTCGCTTACGGTGCCGCTGTTCAGGCTGCCATCCTCACTGGTGAGGGTTCCAGCCAGGTTCAGGACCTTTTGCTCTTGGATGTGACTCCTCTTTCCCTTGGTCTCGAGACTGCTGGTGGTGTTATGACCAAGCTCATTGAGCGTAACACTACTATTCCTACCAAGAAGGCTCAGACTTTCACCACCTACGCCGATAACCAGCCCGGTGTGTTGATCCAGGTGTTCGAGGGTGAGCGCGCTATGACCAAGGATAACAACCTGCTTGGCAAGTTCCAGCTCGAGGGTATTCCTCCGGCCCCCCGTGGTGTTCCCCAGATCGAGGTTACTTTCGATATCGATGCCAATGGTATCCTTAACGTGAGTGCTCAGGACAAGTCCACCGGCAAGAGCAACAAGATCACCATCACCAACGAGAAGGGCCGTCTTTCTCAGTCTGATATTGACCGTATGGTTAA